CTGAGAGCGCAGACGCACTGGCACCTAGAGCAGCAGCCTCACAAGCACCTAGCGCAGCAGTACCAATGCCCGGGTCGGGCTGGAAACACCGGTAACCCTCAGTCTCCTCACTAATAGTCACAGCATACATAGCAGCAAGGATAGCATCAAAATCAAGATCAAAGATCGCTACACCAGCCCTAAGAAGCTCATCCCAGCGAGGGATCTCACTAGCCCCGGGGAACTGCTGACGCCAAGCGTCCGTCAGGCGGCCAAAGCAGCGCTGGGTGGGGTGGGCACCCCCACACTGCTCACCCGCGCCGTCGCCGGAACGAAGGACGTAGGTGCAAGGACCAGTACCCCCACCCCTCTAACGCTGAGTGTACCACTCACGAAGCTGCTGAGGCGGAGGGATGTCCCGCGAACGCTGCTGCTGCTGCTGCTGCGAGCGCTGGCCACCACCACCGCCGCTCCGCTGCTGGGTACCACCCCGACCAGCTCCACCCCCTCCACCACCACCGCCTCCTCCGCTGCCTCCTCCGCCGCCTCCACCTCCGCCGCTGCCACCACCACCACCGCTGCCACCACCACCGCCGCCTCCGTCGCTGCTGCCACCACCACCACCACCCCCGCCACTACTCCCGCCGCCACCCCCACTCCCTCCGCCGCCTCCGCCTCCACCGCCACCGCCCCCTCCAGCTCCACCCGCGCCCTTGCCCCCCTTGCCCTTGCCAGAGCGACGTCTCCCACTAGGGGCAGACGCCGCGCCGACCGACTCAAGACCAAGCAGGTCGGCAGCAGCAGCAGAGGCAACAGAGGGCAGCAAGGGGGAAGGAGAGCACCCCTCAAAGATGGGGGTGCGAGGGTCTCCACGAGAAGCTCCTACAGCGACTATGCTCTTCTCCGCTGCGAGGAGGGCCTTCTCGAGGACGTCGACGGTGAGGGTGGTGGGACAGACTGCGAGAAGGTGGTCCCTGACTACGCGAAGGGAGTCAGGGAGGCGTGCGACTACGTAGTAGAGAGTGATGTACATGGGGGGGGGGGTTCTTAGCGCAGAACTCAGCAGGAAGGGCGGCGCGGTAGCGAGTGTCACTAGTGCGGAGGTGCGTAATGAGGTCAGCGACAGTGGGAAAGGCAGAGAGGTCAGGAAAGAGGTAGGGAAGCATGAGACGGCTCAGTGCAGCAGTGGCAGGGGAGGAGTAGCGCGCAACTACAGCGTCGTACAAGGTCTGAGCACTCTTGTACTGACTAAAGTGCGCGCGCTCAGAGGTAGGGAGGTGGCGACGCACAGCAAGACGTGCAGCAGCATCGCGGGTGGCCCACTGAGAGCGCACAGTGGGATCAGCATCAGCAGCAGGAGCAGGAGAGGCGCCAGAGGTAAGGTCAAAGAGAGAGAGGCCGTCTGCCCTATCGCACTGTAAAAACAACTGCAGGTCGTCTACCCAGACCTCAAAGTCAATGGCGCGACCCTCAGCGTCAAAAGCTAGGACACTAGGGGTAGCCATGACGACGACAGCGAAGCAGTGCAAGCAGTAGGGGAAGAGCACGCAGTGACAGTGGGAATGTGCTCACCAGGCAGGGCAGGCCGGGCACCTTTGCAGAAGGGCGGCTCGGCGACTCAGCGACTCGGCTGCTGGGCGGCTCGGCTCCCGGGCGGCTCGGCGGCAGGGCGGCTCTGGTGCAGGGTGGCTCGGCTCCCGGGCGGCTCGGCGGCAGGGCGGCTCGGGTGCAGGGCGGCTCGGCTCCCGGGCGGCTCGGCGGCAGGGCGGCTCGGGTGCGGGGCGGCTCGGCTGCACTGCTGCTCGGCTGCTGCAGGTGGGCAGCTCGGCTGCTGCAGGTAGGGTGGCGGGGCCGCGAGATCAGGGGCAGCGGGGCCGAAGTAGCAGGGCCGGCAGGTGCAGCGGCGGGGACGGCGGGGCCGCGGCTGGTGGAGCGGCGGGGCCGGCAGAGAGGGCGGCGGAGCCGCGGCTGAGCAGGCGGCGGGGCCGGCGGCGTAGCGGGCGGCGGGGCCGCGTCGTAGTCGGCGGCTGGGCCGCGTCGTAGCGGGCGGCGGGGCCGCGTCAGAGCAGGCGGCGGGGCCGCGTCAGAGGTGGCGGCGGGGCCGCGTCAGATCAGGCGGCGGGGCCGCGTCAGAGGTGGCGGCGGGGCCGCGTCAGATCAGGCAGCGGAGCCGCGTCAGAGGTGGCGGCGGGGCCGCGTAAGACGTGGCGGCGGGGCCGCGTCAGAGAAGGCGGCGGGGCCGCGTCGTAGCGGGCGGCGGGGCCGCGTTAGAGTAGGCGGCAGGGCCGCGTCAGAGCAGGCGGCAGGGCCGCGTCGAGCAGGTGGCGGGGCCGCTTCGTAGCTGGCGGCGGGGCCGCGACGTGGCGGCGGGGCCGCGATCTGGTGGCGGGGCCGCGATCAGAAGGGGTGGCGGGGCCGCGTCTGAGGGACGGCGGGGCCACGAGGGAAAGGGCGACTCGAGGGGTCGCTAAAAAAAAGGTGCGCGCCTCGGGGCGCGCTTCGGTGGGCCCTAGGCAACGTTCCCACAGGGAACTCGCTCTATACCATGTGAAAATAAATGACCAGGAATGAAATGACTAAGTCAGAGTTGGGTACAAATACAACCCTAGAAAGCTGTACCCCATATGTGCTACCCCACTATAGCCTACAAACATGCATCAGCTATAATAATCTGACACACGGCTCGGGGGGGTAACCCGCGCTCCGGGCCTCCGCTTCGACACTTTTCTGAACGTTAGTCACAGGCCCGTCGCGCGACAACCAGAGTCCATTACCGTTTCCACTGTAGTTTCGCTATATATTCTTCGCTCATGCCTTCGCTCATTGTAATCTTGCTTCGATAGTGCAATTTTCGTTCGTTCACTCAATTGCACTCGTAACAAATTCTAAATGACGAGTGAGCTTTTATACTCCACAAGATAAAACTCACAATTACAATCAAGTCGAATCGCATTCGTAACCTAACCGCGCAATTTCATAATCCACCCCAATTACATTTGACAGTGGAAATGTCGGAAAATATGTTACGACCCTTTCCGTCTAACACTTCCGCCAATGCATTCAATTTGTAATTGCAATGGTCGGACCAATCATATCGCGCCATGTGCTTGTGCTTTTCTTTGATTCAATCCGCCCACTTGCAAACACCCCTCGCCATTCTTGTTTGTTAGTTACCACCCAAGTGCAATGTTTGACTTGAGTGCACCGTCACCCTCCGCCCAAGTTCTCGCCACCCAATCCTATGCATAGCTATGATCACTCTTAGTAGTTCATGCCAACCCCCTAGTCTAGCTCAATACCGTGGTAGTGTGACTCTCCGCACTACTCAGTAACTTCTTAGCCTATTTCGCCTGCACTTCTTTCGCAAAAGTCTTCCGCCGCGCTTATCCTCAAGTTAGTCAACCCTTAGCGGATTTAGGCCAAGGGGACTAACATTTTTCCTTTTAAGTTGTGGTGGGAATAGTTGGGTACGGGGGTAAAGAGGGACGAGAAGCAACGAAAAGAGATTTTCTCTACACACAGCTTCGTTGTTCGTTTTCCGCACAACTCAGAGAGTCTACGAGAATCCTAGCGTTTGAGAGACAACTGTGCATTCGATTAGCCACGCACCTAGCCGCCCCTCCTCACCCTCCCTTCAGATTGCATTGATGATTAGCCGATTGGGTTACCTCTCCACCGTTTTTTAACCCTCCGTAGACCTTCATGTCTCCTTGAGATTGTCGTGTCTGATTTGGAGAGTGGGCAGAATCCATCCATTGCTCGGGAATGTATCCCACCAAGGGCGGCGAGAATCCGGCCCGATTCTAAACTGCAATGCTGCTGCCCTGCCCGCCTCGCGACAAGAATGGCCTCTTGGGAGTGGTTTGTGTACACTCTATTTCGCTCTAGTAGAGCACCTGGTTGCAGAACATCCACAGGTTGTAGAACGTAACCACGTTCAGAATGGTCTTGTCACCTACTGTACAAGCACAGTGCGAAGAATACGGTTAGGTGAGGTGATGCATTTTACAAACAGCGTTATCAACGTTTTCATTTGTTTTGGAATGGCATACAGTGATTACGGAAAATTTACGTCATTGAGCCAGTTTGTCACGTGGTTCCGCTTTTCCCCCCAGGTTGCTAGGAACGTTTAATGGCACCAGATCGCAAGAAACAATTACTATAGCGACGAATCGCGCAAGGTAAGAATATTGTATAGACCATGCAGGCCACGTCTCAATCGACTACACCCTCATTCTCATTAGACTGGCATATGTTATACTGACCGGGACACTTAGTGTAGCCGCAGCTGACCAAAGAAGGTCCTATTACATGCGTTATACTAACAGTTTGACCCAGGGCGTTTAGTCAAGGTTCTATACGCTATAAAATGGTACTGCTGTTTTATAAACGGTTAAGACAGTTATTCAGCGTGAACGGAATTCTACGGCCCAAGTCTGGTTTCGTCGCCTCGTGCGACTTGGCCCGCAACCGAGTTATCTCACCAGCCCGTTACGTCCAAACACTGTAGCCACTGCTTCCGCCAGTGAGAAGACTGAGAATAAGGGTGTATTGGCAGATGCGAAGGGCCATTTCGGTTCAAACACACTCCACCCCACTTCACTTCACATTCGGAGTCTAATGACAAGGACGCGAGTTCTCCTCTGAATCATGATTTCTGCGGGCGGGAGTATAATCTCTGCGGGTGTGTTCGAGGTATCAGGTCGAGCCTAGTGAGGAAAGATATCTTCGACGCTTCGCGCCCTGCCACACTCCGCAGCTTGCAGCCCCGAGAAAAATTCCGTCAGGCAGTAAACTGCCATTTTCATCCTCTGCCCGCTTTCTCCTGAAAACGGAAGTACCACAAACCACCAGTAAATCAGCCACAGCTGACCACACCCGCAAGTTTACCCACCGCTTCCAGACTCACAGCCCTTCCCACCCCGTAAACGCCCAAGTACAGAACCCTCTCCAACCGTAGTAGTAATAGTAGGCTAATTCATCGTTGTCCTGTGTTTTCGGCAGTCGACATTTTTCTGATA